CCTCAAATTTTGAGCGAAGTTTTCCCACAATTTCAATCAACCAATGAAATTTCCGCCACCACCAACGCGTGGATAAATTGGAAGGAGACGCCAGAGGCCAATGTTTTCAAAGATGATCTTCCGAGACTGAAGAAAGAAGAGGTGAAAGAAGAGGTGGAGGATGGTAGGGTTCTACAAATCAGCGATGAGAGGGCGTGATAAATAGCATCGGATTGAGAGGGGAAGAGGCAAATTTCTTAGGAGGTTCTATTTACCGGAAAATGCTAAAACTGATGAAGTGAAGGCAACTATGTAGAATGGTGTTCTTACTGTAACTGTTCCTAAGCAGGAGGTGAAGAAACCCGAGGCCAAGACTATTGAAATCACTGGCTGAATTATTTTCAACTGTTCGGAAGTTTGGATTGTTGTTCTGCTTTTGTTTGTTTGTTTGTTTAATGATGTTTGTTTTTGTATGTGGAACTTTGTGTCATTTTTATGAATATTTGTACCTCCTATAATGTGTAATATGTTTTCTGGGTTGTAATGAATAAAAGTTGCATGGCCTCTTAAAACAGTGTTAACATTTTTTGAAGAATCTATTTTTTTGGGACGGGATAATATTGATGTACAGCGTAGAGTGTGATTAAGTGCCAATGTCAAATTCTCAAATTGGATTTAGTTTCATATTTGGGTCCATATATGAAAACTGTCTAGACTCGTATTAGATCGGCCAAGCATAAGATGCACGCTGCAACGTAGTGCCCGCAATTGCCCTACGTCGAGCCGATTGGCACGGAATTGGCTTGAAATGAGATAGTCGAAAGGCAAAATGAAGCTGGACAAAGAGCTTGCTTTCGCCTTTTCGCATGCCCAAGTCCTAGGCGGGGACCTCGATTACTCTATGAGTCTAGGCGTGCATTTTAAAATTGTGGTTACAAGACACATGAACATCCCAAACGAGAGCATTCACGATTTTGAAAATAATCAAAGCACTCATTTTTCTCCATTTTGTTTCTCAGCTCAATTTATTCTTCAAATCTTCTGCGGCTTTCATCTACTATCCACAAAGAGTTGCACTAAGTTTATGCTATGTTCGCATCTAACCTAATTTGTAGAAATTCATTACTAAGTAATTATGATATTTATGATTTTATTTTTTTTTGTTGAAAACCTGAAATTTTTAAGTTTCATAAATTTTGAAGGCATGTGTTTTTTTTGTTGTCTAGAATAATTCAAAAAAAATATTAAAATAGGACAATACTTAATCATTCTTAAATTGTAAGGTTTGAGACTTGACGTCCACGTCACCTTTTAGAACATTTATTGGAGGTGATGGATTCTAATCGAATTGAATCGACTTCTTTTGTTGATTCTGCAAGTGTACATGGTCGAAGTATTGACAAGGAAAACCTCATACGAAATTTGTTATCCGAGGGGGGCAGTGGAGTCGAGATTGTTTCGATAGTAGGGACGGGAGGGGTTGGTAAAACAACTCTTGCTCAATTAGCCTTTAACGATCCTAAGGTTAAGGAACATTTTAATCCAAAAATATGGATTTGTGTTTCGGATACTTTTGAGGCCGACAACTGGGGTTAGAGATCTTTAAGAACCTNATCTTTAAGAACCTAGAAATGCGAAATTTCTTTCAAGAGTTGGAAAAGGATAAATATGATGAAAGTAAAATCTCTTGCAAAATGCATGATATAATGCATGACTTCGTTACTTATCTCTCAAAAGACGAGTTCAGCGAAATCTTGTATGATGGAGTAGAGATTACGAATTGTGATATCGGAAAAGTTCGCACCTTTTGTGCTAGAAATGTTTCTCAAGAAGGTCTCTCTTTAAATCTCTTTAGCCGTTTAAAATGTGTTCGGGTACTTATTGCGAGCAATTGCGGTTTGCATGAAATTCCACAAGAGATAGGAAAATTAATTCATTTGAGGTATCTTGAGTTGAGGTCCAATCCTATAAGAGAACTCCCAGAAACCTTGTGTGATTTGTATATATAATTTGCAAACCTTGGATCTCCGAGAATGTTTCTATCTCTCTGCACTCCTGTCATGCGTTTTCTATAACGTGA